CATCCTACCCGCCATTCAACCTGCGCCCCTTCCCCCTGCCTCTCAACACTGCCATCTCAACCCTCCCCTTCTCAAACCTGCCTTTAAACACTGCCATCTCTACCCTGCCATCTCAACACTGCCATCTCAACCCCCTGTTTTCCTCCCCGCCATCCAACCCTGCCCTTCTCTCCCCTCCATCTAACACTGCCATCTCTACCCTGCCATCTAAAAACCGCCTCTCTCCCCTGCCATCTCAACACTGCCATCTTACCCTGCCCTTTCAACCCAGATTATTGTCATGTGTGCTCCATCAAGGGGTCCTCAGTCGGGACATATTGAGCCATAATACTAGTACCATGATGGAAACGTTATAGTGTCTACCATGATGGAACTCGAGATGGTAGCTATCAGAATATATCAATTCCACAAAGGTAGCTCCCAATGATGGTAGCTATATAAAATAATCAACTCCATAACTTTAAAATTACCATGAAAAACGGTTACCAAGAGGTAGATATCAAAAAAGGGCTACCATGGAGGGTTTTCCCTGATGGTAGGTCATGAATGAGCAGCTACCCCTGATTTTTTTCCCATCATGATACTACCCTCAAGAAATACCCGCTACCATGAAGGTAGTTACCATGATGGGAAATTACCATGAAGGTAGCATCATGAAAATAGCTGACCATTATGGTAGGAATCTGAAAAATTGCAGGAGTCAGTTCGGGAGTTTTCCATGATGGTAATTCATGAATACAGAATTTACCCGATGGTACAACTTTGATAAGTTTATGAATATACAGTACGATTGTAGCTATCAAAAATAACACTACCCTGATGGTAGTTTTCATGAAAATAGCAGCTACCGGGGTAGTTTTTTATGAAAAATAGCAGCTACCATGAGGTTGTTTTCATGAAAAAAGCAGCTACCATGGGTTTTGTTATCATGAAAAGTAGCACTACCATGTGTAGTTATAAAAAGTAGCGCTCCATAGGTAGTTACAGAAAATAGCAGCTCCATGATGGTAGTTATCATAAAAATAGCAGCTCCCCTATGGTAGTTATCATGAAAGTAGCAGCTACCATGATGGTAGTTATCATAAAAAGTAGCCTACCATGATGGTAGTTATCATGAAAGTAGCAGTACCATGATGGTATTTTATCTAAAAGTAGGCTACCATGGGGTGTTACTGAAAAGTAGCGCTCCCATGATGGTAGTTACATGAAATTTTTTCCCAAAGTTTCCCATGATGGTTTTTACATGAAGTAGCAGCTACCAGAGTAGTTTCATAAAAAGTGCAGCTCCCTGATGGTAGTTATCATAAAAGTAGCGCTCCTTGAGGGTAGTTTCATGAAAGTCAGCTCCATATGGTAGTTTAAATGAAAGTAGCAGCTACCTGATGGTAGTTATCATGAAAGTAGCAGCTACCATGAGGGTGGTATCATGAAAGTAGCAGTACCATGTTGGTAGGTATCATGAAAGTAGCAGCTACCATGTGGTAGTTATCATGAAAGAGCAGACACCATGATGGTATTATCATGAAAGTAGGCAGCTCCATGAGGGTTGTATCATGAAAGTAGCAGCTACCATGAGGTAGTATCATAAAGTAGCGCTACCATGATGGTATTTATCATGAAAGTAGCGCTACCATAATGGTAGTTTCATGAAAGTAGCATACCATGAGGTATTAATGAAAGTAGCAGCTACCATGATGGTAGTTATATGAAATAGCAGCTACCATGATGGTATTATCATAAAGTAGCACTACCATGAATATAACTACCATGTTGGTAGTTAACAATAGCTGCACCAAAATGGTAATTCCCTGATCACAGATATGAATGAAGGCGTTACCATGATGGTAGCAATTATGAAATATTTTAATTATATTATTATAATCAAAGGGAGCGCAAACCGTAGGATTATATCAGCGGCTGGGGGTGGGAACTGGTGCATAAAATTCAATTCCCTGATCAGACCCCTACCAGCGTCAGGAACTTCCCATGAGGGAGATTATGAATATAATAGCTACCATGAGGTAGTTACCATGATGGTAGCTATCATGAACATTACCACTACCATTATCGTAGTTTCTATGATAGTTGCAATCAAAAATATAACAGCTACCATGAAGATAGTTACCATGATGGAGCTATCATGAACATTACCACTACCATTTTTCGTAGTTTCTATGATAGTTGCAATCAAGAATATAACACTACCATGAAATAGTTACCATAATGGCAGCTATCATGAACATTACCACTACCATTATCGTATTTTTCTATGATAGTTGCAATCAAGAATATAACAGCTACCATTGAAGATAGTTACCATAATGGTAGCTATCATGAAACATTACCACTACCTTATCGTAGTTTCTATGATAGTTGCAATCAAGAATATAACAGCTACCATGAAATAGTTCCCCATATGGCAGCTATCATGAACATTACCACTACCATTATCGTAGTTTCTATGATAGTTGCAATCAAGAATATAACAGCTACCTTTGAAGAAGTTACCTAATGGCGCTATCATGAACTTTTACCACTACCATTTCGTTGTTTCTATGATAGTTGCAATCAAGAATATAACAGCTACCATGAAGATAGTTACCTAATGGCAGCTATCATGAACATTACCACACCAATTATGTAGTTTTTTTGATAGTGCAATCAAGAATATAACAGCTACCATGAAGATAGTTACCATAATGGCAGTATCATGAACTTTACACTACCATTATTGTAGTTTCTATGAAGTTGCAATCAAGAATATAACAGCTACATGAAGATAGTTACCATAATGGCAGCTATCATTGAACATTACCACTACCATTATTCGTAGTTTCTATGATAGTTGCAATCAAGAATATAACACAAACCATGAAGATAGTTACCATATGGTAGCTATCATGAACATTACCAAAAACCATTATCGTAGTTTCTATGAAAGTTGCAATCAAGAAATTAAACAGCTACCAATGAAGATAGTTGCCATAATGGCAGCTATCATGAACATTACCACTACCATTATCGTAGTTTCTATGATAGTTGCAATCAAGAATATTAACAGCTACCATGAAGATAGTTACCATAATGGCAGCTATCATGAACATTACCACTACCATTATCGTAGTTTCTATGATAGTTGCAATCAAGAATAAAAACAGCTACCATAAAGATAGTTTACCATAATGGCAGCTATCATGAACATTACCACTACCATTATCGTGTTTCATGATAGTTGCAATCAAGAATATAACAGCTACCATGAAGATAGTTACCATAATGGCAGCTATCATAAACATTACCACTACCATTATCGTAGTTTCTATGATGGGTTGCAATCAAGAATATAACAGCTACCTGAAGATAGTTACCATAATGGCGCTATCATGAACATTACCACTACCATTATCGGTAGTTTCTATGATAGTTGCAATCAAGAATATAACAGCTACCATGAAGTTTAGTTACCATAATGGCAGCTTCATGAACATTACCACTACCATTATCGTAGTTTCTATGATAGTTGCAATCAAGAATATAAAAACTACCATGAAGTTTAGTTACCAAAGGCAGCTATCATGAACATTACCACTACCAAATTATCGTAGTTTCTATGATATTGCAATCAAGAATATAACAGCTACCATGAAGATAGTTACCATAATGGAAAGCTATCATGAACATTACCACAACCATTATCGTAGTTTCTATGATAGTTGCAATCAAGAATATAACAGCTACCATGAAGATAGTTACCATAATGGCAGCTATCATAAACCCATTCCCAAATACCATTATCTAGTTTCTATGATATTTTGCAATCAAGAATATAACAGCTACCTGAAGATTAGTTACCATAATGGCAGCTATCATGAACATTACCACTACCATATCATAGTTTCTATGATAGTTGCAATCAAGAATATAACAGCTACCTGAAGATAGTTACCATAAGGCAGCTATCATGAAACATTACCACTACCTTTTACGTAGTTTCTATGATAGTTGCAATCAAGAATATAAAACTACCATGAAGATAGTTACCATAATGGCAGCTATCATGAACATTACCACTACCATTATCGTAGTTTCTATGTTTGTTCAATCAAGAATATACACTACAGGATAGTTTACCATAATGGCAGCTACCTAACATTTACCACTACCATTATCGTAGTTTCTATGATAGTTGCAATCAAAAATTTATAACAGCTACCATGAAGATAGTTACCATAATGCAGCTATCATGACATTACCACTCCATTATCTTTAGTTTCTATGATAGTTGCAATCAGAATAAAAACAGCTACCATGAAGATAGTTACCATAAGGCAGCTATCATGAACATTCCACTACCATTATCGTAGTTTCTATGATAGTTGCAATCAAGAATAAACACTACCATGAAGATAGTTTCCATAATGGCAGCTATCATGAACATTACCACTACCATTATCGTAGTTTCTATGATAGTTGCAATCAAGAATATAACAAACTACCATGAAATATTTTACCATAATGGCAGCTATCATGAACATTACCACTACCATTATCGTATTTTTCTATGATAGTTGCAATCAAGAATAAAAACAGCTCCAAATGAAGATAGTTACCATAATGGCAGCTATCATGAACATTACCACTACCCTTTTATCGTAGTTTCTATGATAGTTGCAATCAAGAATATAACAGCTACCATGAAGATAGTTACCATAATGGCAGCTATCATGAACATTACCACTACCATTATCGTAGTTTCTATGATAGTTGCAATCAAGAATATAACAGCTACCATGAAGATAGTTACCATAATGGCAGCTATCTGAACTTTAAACCACTACCATTATCGAAAGTTTCTTTTGATAGTTGCAATCAAGAATATAACAGCTATCATGAAGATAGTTACCATGATGGTAGCTATCATGAAAGTAGCTGCCACCATGAATGAAGTTACCATGATGATAGTTATCATAAATATAACAGTTACCATGATGTTAGCTGCCATGAATATTGCGGCTACCATGAAGGAAGCTGCGATGATGGTAGCTACCATGAATATAGCTGCTACCATTAAGATGATAATAACACAAGTAACACAGACACTCACATTATTAAGCGACAGTTGAGTGTTGACTTAGCCAGGGTGAGCAGCTGGCGCCGCTGTTGTCGTGTGATGCTGACGCTGGTCTCTACTGGCACAACCTCCATCTTAACACTGCGGTGATGCAGGTGATGGATCATGTCTTGGATGCCCGCCACTGTTACTTTGCTACCACACTCGATCTTCCAGTACCTGTTGATGATGACACTACTGTTGTTGTCTGTTGATGATCTACAACACTACCACCATCACTGTTGCAACCACCACTACTGTTGTAACCACCACCATCACTGTTGCAACCACCACCATCACTGATGCAACCACCACTATCACTGTTGCAACCACCACCATCACTGTTGCAACCACCCCCATCAAATGTTGCCAACCAAACCACAATCACTGTTGCAACCATCACCATCACAGTTGCAATCACCACAATCACTGTTGCAACCACCACCATCACTGTTGCAACCACCACCATCACTGTTGCAACCACCACCATCACTGTTGCAACCACCACTACTGTTGTAACCACCACCATCACTGTTGCAACCACCACCATCACTGATGCAACCACCACTATCACTGTTGCAACCACCACCATCACTATTGCAAACCACCACCATCACTGTTGCAACCACAACCTCACTGTTGCAACCAAACCCTCACGTGCAAACCCCCACATCACTGTTGCAACCACCACCATCACTGTTTTCAACCAAACCCCCATCACTGTTGCAATCCCCCATCACTGTTGCAACCACCACCACTGTTGCACCACCACCATCCTGTTGCAAACCACCCCATTCATGTTTCAACCACACCACCCCATGTTGCAAACCAAAACCAAATTGGTGAACCACCAACCATCAACTGGGTTGAACCACCACCATCATGTTGCAACCACAACATCACTGTTGGCAACCACCACCATCACTGTTGCAACCATATCATAAACTACTACCAGCACACCACAATCAGTGTTTGCAACCACCACTTCATCCACTACTACCAAGTACCACCATCATCAATCCTTGCAACCTACCATCATCACTACTACCAACACCACCACCATCACTGTTGCAACCACCATCATCACTACTACCAGCGCCTCCACCATCACTTTAGCAACCACCACCATCATCACTACTACCAGCACCACCACCATCACTGTTGCAACCACCATCATCACTACTACCAGCACCACCACCATCACTGTTGCAACCACCACCATCATCACTACTACCAGCACCACCACCATCACTGTAGCAATAACCACCATCATCCTACTACCGCACCAAAACCATCACTGTAGCAACCACCACCATCACATACACAAGCACCACCACCATCACTGTTGCAACCACCACCATCATCACTACTACCAGCACCACCACCATCACTGTTGCAACCACCACCATCATCACTACTACCAGCACCACCACCATCACTGTTGCAACCACCACCATCATCACTACTACCAGCACCACCACCATCACTGTAGCAACCACCACCATCATCACTACTACCAGCACCACCACCATCACTGTTGCAACCACCACCATCATCACTACTACCAGCACCACCACCATCACTGTTGCAACCACCACCATCATCACTACTACCAGCACCACCACCATCACTGTTGCAACCACCACCATCACTACTACCAGCACCACCATCATCACTGTTGCAACCACCACCATCACTACTACCAGCACCACAACCATCACTGTTGCAACCACCACCATCATCACTACTACTAGCACCTCCACCATCACTGTTACAACCACCACCATCACTACTACCAGCACCACCACCATCACTGTTGCAACCACCACCATCACTGTTGCAACCATCAACATCCCTAACTACTTTCCAGCACCAACCCCAATCAGTGTTGCAACCACCACCATCATCACTACTACAAGCACCTCCACCACCACTTTAGCAACCACCACCATCATCACTACAACCAGCACCACCACCATCACTGTTGCAACCACCACCATCATCACTACTACCAGCACCACCACAATCACTGTTGCAACCACCACCATCATCACTACTTCCAGCACCACCATCATCACTGTAGCAATAACCACCATCATCACTACTACCAGCACCACCACCATCACTGTAGCAACCACCACCATCATCAGTACTACAAGCACCACCACCATCACTGTTGCAACCACCACCATCATCACTACTACCAGCACCACCACCATCACTGCAGCAACCACCAGCATCATCAGTACTACCAGCACCACCACCATCACTGTTGCAACCACCACCATCATCACTACTACCAGCACCACCACCATCGCTGTTGCAACCACCACCATCATCACTACTACCAGCACCACCACCATCACTGTTGCAACAACCATCATCACTACTACCAGCACCACCATCATCACTGTTGCAACCACCATCATCACTACTACCAGCACCACAAACCCTCACTGTTGCAACCACCACCTCATCAATACACAGCACCTCCACCTTTACTGTTACAACCCCACCATCACTACTACCAGCGCCACCACCATCACTGTTGCAACCACCACCATCACTGTTGCAACCACCACCATCACTATTACCAGCACCACCACCATCACTGTTGCAACCACCACCATCATCACTACTAACAGCACCACCACAATCACTGTTGCAACCCCCACCATCATCACTACTACCAGCACCACCACCATCACTGTTGCAACCACCACCATCACTACTACCAGTACCACACCTCGCTGTTGCAACCACCACCATATCATACCCATAGCACCACCACCATCACTGTTGCAACCCCCACCATCATCACTACTACTAGCACCACCACCATCACTGTTGCAACCACCACCATCACCACTACTAAAAGCACCACCACCATCACTGTTGCAACCACCATCATTACTACTACCAGCACCTCCACAATCACTATTGCAACCTCCACCATCATCAATACTACCAGCACCACCACCATCACTGTTGCAACCACCACCATCATCATTACTACCAGCACCACCACTATCACTGTTGCATCCACCACCATCATTACTACTACCAGCACCTCCACCATCATTACTACTACCAGCACCTCCACCATCATCACTACTACCAGCACCACCACCATCACTGTAGCAACCACGAAAATCATCACTACCACCAGCACCACCACCATCATCACTACTACCAGCACCACCACCATCACTGTAGCAACCACCACCATCACTACTACCAGCACAACCACCATCACTGTAGCAACCACCACCATCACTACTACCAGCACCACTGCTATCACTGTTGCAACCACCACCATACACTCTACTACCAGCACCACAACCATCACTGTTGCAACCACCACCATCACTACTACCAGCACCTCCACCATCACTGTTGCAACCTCCACCATCATCACTACTACAAGCACCACCATCATCACTGTTGCAACCACCACAATCACTGTTGGAACCACCACCACCGTCACTATTACCAGCTGTTGCAACCCCTGAATTGGTTGCAATGATTAATATGTATATATATATAATTATTACCTTTTCATATAATTTTATATTGTTTATATTTGCTATAATAGCTAAATCGTAAATGTATTTCTTTATATTATTATTTGATTTAGTTATGTTGTTAGGTAGGATGTGCTCAGTTCAAGTCTTGATTGTCTAACTACTGTAATTATCGCTCATTGCTCGTTAGACTGCCGGCTTCTGTTGCTGGGCAGCAACTGTCCACGGAGCTATCATGTGATCGAGGGGGCGGGTGTCCTCACCTCGCCTGTAGTATTCAGTCTGGTCTTGAGTCGCTGGGTGGTTGGACGTATTCCAGACAAAGTGCCTAAATCTTCCTTATAGGCCCTTTTTGGAAGATTGTCTCTTGTCTCATTATTGTTAGTTCTGGAGACTCTGTTCACAGAACATTGTATAGACTTAGTGGTTTTTGACATTGTACTGAGGTTGTGTGTCGCATAGACACTCTTAGCAACTCAGGTCCTGAGCTGTAGCTTCTGACCTAACTTGTACTGGTATCTGTGTATTATCACAGTCGGGTATTTTCTTATGCTGAACTTAGATTCAGTAGTATGGGAGTTTTGTGACTTTTGTGGAGGATCTGCAGATGGTCCCTACTTAGTGTCGTTATGTTTTCTCCTTGTTCCTGATTCTGTGTTGCAGTTGCTTGTTATTTTGCTATTGGGCTTAGCATTCTTTTTGTTGTTCAAGCGGACTGTTCTGATTGCCAGTTGGCCAAGAACTTAGTTTATTTGAGGACTTTGTCAGTCACTTGTTTAAGTCTAGTCGAGTTGTGAGACATAGCGAACTAATTAGAGCACTTACATACACACAAACTTACTTGTACATATTTGTAATATCTTATTAAATGTTAATGTACCAGACGGTACTTAAGAATTATAAATGTGATATGTGCTTTCAGCACAATAATATTGTACTCGAGAGAAGTGATTATTATTTTGATTACTATGATTAATTTAATTTAATTTGATATACCTCTAGATGATACTTAATAAATTTAATAAATTTTAATTTCTCTAGTTAGTAGCCTACCAATTGTAATCCTGAAGCATTATTGAATCATACTGAATTCTAATGGATAATTGGAAAAGGATACTGACTAATTGTTATGAAAACCCAGTAACAGGCTGGATGCTAGAAGGGCAGTCCTTTCTAGTATTCACTGGAGATCTCTGAGCTTTTAGAATCACATTTTTTGTAACAAATGGGGGCCTGTCTGGGATGCTCTTGATCCAAGGTGTTGGAGAAATTGTACAGTTTGACATACTAGTAACTATGATCAAACACTTTGAGTACTTTTCTAATCTGAAGACTTTTAGTTTAGTCTTGTACAACATACCAGGTGGATGTATGTACCTGACTGAGTCTCTTGATCCAAGGAGATGGAAATACTGTTGATGAGCTCTAACTCTAAGACAACCAACACTAAAATTCCTATTAGGATTATAGTTTCCCATAATCACTCTCTTGTAGTACATTTATTTTCGTGATGTATGCCAAAGTGAAACAGTTAATTGATACTCTGACTTTATCTGAGTTAAGTACATTAAAACTTCAGACGTGTTGGCGAGTAGCCAAGTATCTCGGTGTGACATATAACAGGAATTACACAGCTGAAACTGTCAGAGCGTTAAT